CACCCCAGTGGGGACCCCCACCCTGAAGGGGGTGTGACCAGCTGCAAACAGCCAGCAGCCCCTCACCCAGGCTGGCCAGGCACCCCAGCGGGTCCCCCACCCTGATCCGGGACACCCTTCAGGGCAAACCAGCTGGCCCCCACCCATGCACCAGGCCTCTATCCTATATAATAAAAGGGTAATATGCAAACTGACCCTAACAGCAGAATGACTGGGAATGACTGGTCACTATGACACACACTGACCACCAGGGGGCTGACACTCAATGCAGGAGCTGCCCCCTGGTGGTCAGTGCGCTCCCACAGGGGGAGCTCTGCTCAGCCACAAGCCAGGCTGACGGCTGCCAGTACAGTGGTGGTGGTGGGAGCCTCTCCCACCTCCTCAGCAGCAATAAGGATGTCCGACTGCAGCTTAGGCCTGCTCCCCGCTGGCAAGTGGACATCCCCTGAGGGCTCCCGGGCTGCCAGAGGGATGTCTGATTGCCAGCTTAGGCCCAATCCCCCGGGGAGCAGGCCTAAGCCAGCAGGTGGTCATCCCCCGAGCAGTCCCATACTGCGAGAGGGCACAGGCCGGGCTGAGGGACACCCCCCCCCTCCTCCGAGTGCACAAATTTTTGTGCACCGGGCCTCTAGTTAAATATAAGCTCCCTGGAGGCAGCAACTTAGTCTAGTATGTTTACTGTTGCAGCATTCCCCATGCCTATAACAGAATCTGGCCCATAAGGGCAGTCAATAAGTGTTTGTGTAATAAAAAGTGACCGATGTATAAAAGGGACTTAATAAATACTGATGGACGAAAAGCCCAAGTGTCCAGCAACGGATAACTGAACAAACAAAATGTGGTATATATATACATTGGAACATCTATTCCCTCTTAAAAAAGAAGGAAATTGTGATACAAGCTACACATTTTGGACATTACCATGAGAGAAATAAACCAGACACAAACAGATAAATAGTGTATGACTGCACTTATATGAGGTACCTAAGTTGTCAAATTCATAGAGATAGAAAGTAGAATGGTGGTTGCTAGGAACTGGGGAAGGGAAGAATGAGGAGTTGTTTAATGGGTAAAAATTTCAGTTTTGCAAAATGAAAAGAGTTCTAGAAGTAGATGCACAATTTAATGTCATTAAACTGTATACTTAAAATGGTTAAGACAGGCACTAGCCATTTGGCTCAGTGGATAGAGTATAGGCCTGCAGACTGAAGGGTCAATGGTTAGATTTCAGTCAAGAGCATGTGCCTCGGTTGCAGGCTTGATCCCTAGCCCCAGTTGGGGCACATGTGCGAGGCAACCAATTGATGTTTGTCTCATGTTCATATTTCTCTGTGTGTGTGTCTCTCCCCTTCCCTTCCACTCTCACTTAAAAAAAAATAATGGAAAAAATATCCTCAAGTAAGGATTAACCAAAAAAAAAAATGGGGGCGGGGGGAGAAAAAATGGTTAAGATGGTAAAATTTGTTAAGTATCTATATCTATAAAACCCTAATATGCAAATAGACCGAACCGCGGAACAACCAAACAACCAGTCACTATGACGTGTGCTGACCACCAGGGGGTGCGCGCAGAACATGGCAGGCGTCTGCCACGGCAGGATAGTGGAGCAGGTGAGTGGGGGCGCCAGACCAAGGCGGGGTGCTGGTCGCTGTCATCAGGGTGAGACTCTGGTGGTTACTAAACTTTTTTTGCTCCCACGTACCACAGTCTCGCCCGGTGCTCGCACCTGCTGCCGGTGTCGGCTCTGCTCCATCAGCGAGTGCAAGCCAGGCCGGTGCCGTCAGTGCGTGGAAGTGGTGGCGGTGGCGGTGGGCAGTGG